GGGAAAGAAAAAATTTGGAATCGTTAAGAGGTGAGAGATTTTAAGAAAATGGGTATTGTGTTAGTAAATGAGAAATGCATGACTATGCTCTCTTGTTAGATTTGCTCATTTGCAGAGAAAAATCTTCTAAGGGGAAATGGAAACTGGAATTTATTGTTCACACACAGAGATAGATGGTGATGGGAGATGAAGTTGGTCTTTAAGTTCAGAGGACAGATCTGAAACATCTTTTTTTTATTTGTATCAATGTTGACTTTATGATGTTTTTTAATAGCTTGTGACACATATATATTTATTTATTTTTGGTCGAAATACATATACATGTGCAAATATATCATATATTCCCAAGTTCTCAACCAACTATGACCTAATACTTGTTTTCTCTTAGGTTGATGTGTTTAAGTATTTTTTGAAAGAAAAAAGAAGAAAAACACAAATCACAGAAATGGACAAATACTTCCCAAAAATGATATCTCGAATAGCACGTTAGTTTCTTGGAAGATACTACTACTACACTAGTATGAGTCTATGAAAGACCGTGGTAATTAATTTTAATGATCTCAAGGAAAAAAATTACAGAGACCGTTTGAAAGTAGTGATGATAATTAGATGTTGGGTTTGACTAGTGATGGTGGTTGAAGTGCGTGGGGGTACATCTTAGATCTTTGATTGGAAGTTTATCCGGCAAGTATAGTTAATGATGAAAAAGTTATATATACATTACAAATTATATAAGTGCATTACAAATATGTATGATGTATTGTGTAACCAATATTACAAACTATAATATCACTATTTTTTTTTGTATTATCATCTTTTAACAGTACATACTAATTGTATTATCATTTTTGTATTATCTAATTATATTATCATTTTTGTACCACTACTTGTACCATCAAAAAATTTGTACAGTATTTTTGTTTACAATATTTATTTTCGATTCATTAATTAGTGTTATGTTGTGCATGTTTATTTATTTCCTAATGATGTCCAACCAAAACTAGAAGCAATCGATGACCAAAGTTCACGATGGTTTTACAAATCAAGAATCATTTTAGAGAATTAAAACCTTGACTAATAACTAAGTAAACTATTAATAAGAATCTAAAAACATTATATACTACATACCAATTATTTTTACGAACTGATTAAAAGTTTATTATGTTTGTCGATTGTTTTTATTTTAAATCTTCGTAACTAACATTTAAAAATTTTGTTCTTGTAAAATCATCATATAACTACTTACTAATTATTTATGTTTGCGTACAACCCAGGATACCGATTAATCTTTTGTTATTATGATTGTGTTTACAGTAAAGATAGAAAAAAAATTTTGTTGAGATTCCAGTCGACATCACGATTAATCTTTTGTTAGCTGTAAGATTGTCTCTAAATGTCTTTAATTAGACGGTTGACACCGATCATGAACTTTACTATACTACGTCTTTATCGTCATGGTCCTACGAGAAATTAAGCCCACATCATCATTTGAAATTATTCACCACCAGTGATTGCATATACGATTGTGAAG